TTGAAAGAAAACAACCTCAAAAATAAATTTTTAAAAGCTAAGGGACATGATTCAACTCTTAGCACTATTCAAACACAGCAGAAAATGACGCTGAAAAATCACAAAAAGATGAGAAATTCATGCAGGTGTGAATGTATCCAAAGAAGGAAAAACAAATTGTGCAAAAAAGTAACAGGGTGGTACCAAAACGGCTCTTCCTCGCCTAAACTCAGGACAGGTACACATGACATCAGAAAAAAACAAGTAGCAACTAGAGCAAACTACATGAAAACTACGCAGCCTTATTAAAATTATATAAAGTTATATGATAAAACTACATAACGAAACTATAGTTTTACTAAACAATAGAGATTTGCCAACAGGAATTTACTGAGTATGTGCTACACATTTCTGGAATACAAAAATGGAACAGTAAATCCTTAATTTTTAAAAAAGGAAGAAAGAATTGTAAAGTTATACCGTACATTAAAGTACAGAAAGAGGCATATTCTAACATGCAGGTGCGGGCGAAAACATTGCAGAATATTGGACTAGTGCTAAAGAGAGACAGAGAAGTGACATTGTGGCAGTGTCTGACAGGCCTCTTACCTTATTATTCTAAATACATAACAATGATTTTCCGGCTAGGCCAGGTGCAGTGACTCACGGCTATAATCCCAGCATTTTGGGAGGCCATGGCAGGAGGATTGCTTGAGGCCAGGACTTTGAGACCAGCCTGGGCAACATAATGAGATCCTGTCTCTAAAAAAATAAAACAATGAAAAAGGGTCTAAAGTGCTAAGATACAATTCACGGAAAAAAGAATTTAACCATTAGATTCATTTTTTTCTAAAAGCAAAACCTCTGATAAATTCTTGACATGACTTCAGAAATACCTTGAAGATAATTCATCAATTAAATGTTTGAAAACATAGTAAAGCCATCATCAATTTGGAATTAATTCTGAGTGACTCAGAACTAATTGGGACTGGGAGCATGATGGAATACTAAGATGAATGTGAAAACGTCATATCAGAATCTCATAGTTTACACTAGGGCTACTTAAGTCTTTATTTATGTCTCCCTAGACCATATCAGCATGGGCATTCATGGAGGCACAGGAACAATAAAATTCAGCTGCCCCACCTCTGTCAACTGCCCTTGACATTACTAGGTTCTTTCATTTTCCAAGCTGTTCAGTGGGTTGATTCACTTGCACACCCAAACATCTATCACTTCATTTCATGTTTGGTGGTTAAATCTGTTGATAAACATTTGCTGATAATTTTTAGCTGTCCAAACTCTAGAATTAGATGCACAACACTTGGCTGTGAAGCCTCTGGTTGGCACCTAAAATTACCACTAAAAACAAGTCAGCCAGTTCACATAGTATGGCTTCTTGGTAACGAAAAGATAGGTAGAATCTGGAGGATGTCTAGCCTAGGATGCCGAAATTTCAAAAAGGCATTTAACATGGTAATGCATTGAGGTGCACTTAAAGCCACATGGACAAATCCACCCAAAGAGGTAGTGTTAATCAGCTGGAGAAGCGATCCAGAGTTCTGTACTCAAGCCCATCCTGCTCAGAGTTTCAGTTAATGACTTAGATGAAAGTTTACAGGATGATTATGTCAAATTTGCAAAGGAAGCAAAAATCAAGGCCCGGCGCAGTGGTTCACGCCTGTAATCTCAGCACTCTGGGAGGCTAAGACAGGCGGATCACATAAGGTCAGGAGTTCAAGACTAGCCTGGCCAACAAGGTGAAACCCTGTCTCTATTAAAAATACAAAAATTAGTCGAGCACGATGGCAGGTGCCTGTAATTCCAGCTACTTAGGAGACTGAGGGGACAAATCGAGTGGACCTGGGAGGTGGAGGCTGCAGTGAGCTGAGATTGTGCCATTGCACTCCAGCCTGGGCAACAGAGCAAGACTCTATCTCAAAAACAAAAAAAAGAGAGAGAGAGGGAAGTATAGAGGAAGGCACCAGAACTAACTATACCTGGAGAGAAGAAACTGAGGGACAGAAACAGCAAGAGAAACACATTATTATAGCAGCAACAGCAGTGATAACAATAGTAAAAGTAATGAAAATAGGAATAAAGGTGAAGTCAAAAATCTAAGGTAAAAATACTCAAATGCATAAAGACAAAATGAAGAAAACTAGAAACTTAGATTTTTCTAAATGCAGGTTTAAAATTAACTACATATTACTCAGGAATAGAAAATTAAACGTTGTATGTTCTCACTGATATGTGAGAGCTAAGCTATGAGAACACAAAGCTGGGTGTGGCATCTCATGCCTGTAATCCCAGCATTTTGGGAGGCAGAGGCGGGAGGATCGCCTGAGGTCGGGAGTTTGAGATCAGCCTTACCAGTAGGGAGAAACCCAGTCTCTACTAAAAATACAAAATTAGCAGGGCGTTGTGGCACATGCCTGTAATCCCAGCTACTTGGGAAGCTGAGGCAGGAGAATCACTTGAACCCAGGAGGCAGAGGCTGCAGTGCGCCAAGGTCTCGCCATTGCACTCCAGCCTGGGCAACAAAAGCGAAACTCCGTCTTAACAGATTTTTTTTTTTTAATGATACAATAAACTTTGGGGACTCGAGAGGAGGAGTGGAAGGGGCTGAGTGATAAAAGACAACAAATACAGTGCAGTATATACTGCTCGGATGATGCATGCACCAGGATCTCACAGTTCACCACTAAAGAAATTATTCATGTCGCCAAATACCACCTGTACCCCAATTAATTATGGGAAACAAAACTACCTTCAGCCCAATGTTAGGACTTCTCAGAAAACAGCAGAATAATGAGAAGCTCTAATTTTTATATTAGTTAAATAAAAATAAGTACTACTCATTTTGCTATGAAAAAAATTAACTACATATTTACTATGTACCATCTTCATGTCATACATAGTGTTTTTTGAAGAATTTTAGGATATATTCATAGAAGTATATTTATTAAAGGTAGTATAGACTCATTATATTCTGTATTGCTTAGAACATGTTTTCTGTTCAATCACCTGTTAAGGAAGAACACTACCAAACTGTAGTGCTTTCAGAAGTGCATCAGCAGCATTGCAAAACACAGATTTACAGCCGATAAGTACCCTGAAGATCATAATTCCAGCATAAACAAATTGAGAATATTGAGATCCCGTAAGACTGAAATAATACCACCTGTATTTATTGCAGTTTGTTGCTAAAAAGGAATACGTGGGACTGGGTAATTTACTTAAAAAAGAGGTTTTGGTTCTTCACACTACAAGAAATTTGGTGCCGGAATCTGCTTCTAGTGAGGCCTCAGGAAGCTTCCAATCATGTCAAAGGGGGAGCAGGTATGTCATATGGGGAGAGAGACGAGGCAAAGAGAGACGCCAGACTCTTTTAAACCACCAGCTCTCCTGTGAACTAACAGAGTGAGAACTCGATTATTTCCAAGGGGAAGACACTGAGCCAGTGGCAAGGGACCCACCCCTCTAAGCAAACACCTCCCACCAGGCCCCACCTCCAACACTGCAGATGACATTTTAACATGAGATTTCGAGGGGACAAACATTCAAGCCATATCACCATCATTTCACACAAGCTTACCCAATATACTGACTGGGTCGCATAAAGAATATTTATAGGAATTAAGATTGTTCAACTTAAAAAAGAAAGACTTAATGGTGGGGTGCTGAAAGTAAAAAAGCTGTTAAATAGAGAGGAAGGATTCCAGGTCAGCAGGGCAGAAGGTAAGAACATCACACTGGCAAGGACTGTTGGCAATGAGAGTGATAAATCCTTCAGTGGGGGGAGACTGAGGTCACCAGGAGTGTCCAGAGAATAAATGTTCACTACAGGGAATGCTGCAAATGTCCTCACGACACTCAGTAGAAAGGTGGACGCAACCAAATTGCCAAATTCTGAATTTCACAAAAGCTTAGAGGCTGACCTGAAGTCACCAGCATTTTATTTTTACACGGTAAATACATTTACGAAATGAATCACACAATGATATACAAGTATCACCATTTCACTAAATATAGGACATTTTACCACCAAAACTTCAGTTCAGAATGTTGGACTGTCCTCTAAATTGTCTTCTAAATAGAAATAATTTGGTTTGATTGTTGTCATCCAACCACGAATTGGTAAAAATGTGTTCACTGCGGCAGAGACACTCTTCTATAATGTGACGTTAATTCTCCTCCCATGGAGTGGCAGGGTTTGTGTTCTTTGCTTTGCGCCTAAATACACCTTTATGACTGCCTTTACCAATAAACGATGGCTACATTGAGGCTCTATGACTTCTGAGTCTAGGTCATTAAAAATAAAAAGCTATGCTCTTCCTCTTCCTTCTCTTGGGGTACTCCCTCAAGGACCCCAGCTGCCATGCTATGAGAAAGCTCAGACCACATGAAAAGGCCATGTCTAGGTTTTCCAGCCAATGCGCAGCTGAAGTCCCAGTCAAGGGTCAGACATGTGAGTGATACCTTCAAGGTGACTCCAGCCCCAGCCATTGTCTAACTGTACTTGCTTGAGGGACCCCAAGCAAAAACCTAGCTGAGCCCAGTCAACCTTCAGAATCGTGAGAAATAAAAATAGTAGTAGTCAGGAGTTCGTAGAAACGATCCAGAGTAGAAGGATCTAGATTGATTGCAAGAGTTAGCTTTGTGATTCTGGGAGATGACTAGGTAGATCTGAAGTCTGTAAGGCAGGATGTCAGGAAGGGCAGGCCGGAGGGGCAGTTTGAGTTGACACTGTGTCCACAGGCAGAAATTCTTCTTCCTCAGGGAAGCCTCAGCTCTGCTCTTCAGGCCTCTCAACTGACTGAGTCAGACCCAACCAAATTGCCAAGGATAAGCGACTTAAAGTCAATTGATTGTAGATGCTAATTACATCTACAAAATTCCTCCACAGCAACAAGCTAAGTTAGTATTTGAATTACTCTTTACTATAACTAAGCCACGTTCATACATAAAGCTGACCTTCACAATAATAAAATGATTTTTTGTTCTTTTACGTCATTAACCTTTGGAGGTGATTTGTTCCACAGAAATAGGTAACTGGAATGGTCAGTGTAGATTTCCATTGGAGGCAGAGGCAGGAGGATCACTTGAGCCCAGGAGTTCAATACCAGCCTGGTCAACACAATGAGACTCTGTTTCTACAAAAAATTTTAAATAAAAAGATTTAGTAAACACTAGGCTTGATGACCTCTCATTCTTCCAAGCCTAAAATGCCATAATTCACTCACAGGTCGCCTATCTCAGATCTGAAACAGCGGTTCTAGTGTTCACAAATCCCTCAAAGATTTGACTACATTAATCAGTCCTCTTGATTGATTGATGTGATGATAAATCCATTGAGATGCTTTTGGCTGTAAATACAGTTAGCCCTCCATATTCATGGGTTCTGCATCCACAGATTCAACCAACCAAAGATCAAAACTATTTGGGAAAGAAAATGCATGGTTGTGACTGTACTGAACATGTACAGATTTTTTTTTTCCTATTATGTGACTTAAAAATAGGTGAGGTAGTGGGTCGCAGGATGGTTGTATTAAACAAATCCACAGCCACTTCAAGGACCCAGATTCTCGCCATCATTTTGTTGGGTCACTACCAGCTGTGTTTATTTTTTGGCCTGAAGACTTCTCCTCTCTCCCGACTCCCCCAGAACTACCATGAGCCTGTTCCCCAGAGAGAATGTGATCATTATAGTAACAGCTGACCTAAACTCACCAGGACTTATGCTTGGGGGAAATAGGATCATTCTCCCTGAGAGCCTGGCTGTGGGTAGGAAAAAAGGCCCTGATCACACTGGGGTTCTAGTACAAAGGAAGAACTTCATTGAAGGCAAGGAAGAGGAAAAGAAGGGCAGTGGCTTGTCCATGGTCGAAAGAAAGCCCCTTAAGGATTACTTCTCATTCAGCATGGCACTGTGAAAAGTGCTCCTCTCAAGGGGTCCAGTAGAATTGTGTTCAAAAGCCAAATCAGACTGGGCACAGTGGTTCATGCCTGTAATCCCACCGCTTTGGGAGGCTGAGGCAGGAAATCCTTTGAGCCCAGAAATTTGAGACCAGCCTGGGCAATACAGTGAGACCCCATGTCCACAAAAAAATAAAAAATTGCCAGGTGTGGTAGTCTGCAGCTCTAGTCCCAACTACTTGGGAGGCTGAGGCAGGAGGATCACTTGAGCTTGGGAAGCTGAGGTATTGAAATCACCTTTGCAAAATTATGACTGAGACAGTGAAAGAGATCTAACTTAACTGACTCCATCTTGCTTCTAATCTCCAAGCTGTCCTTGTTCATTTCTGAGTGTAGGCAGAACTAACTTTGGGAGAAACTCAGTTAAAAGTTTACGAAAAGACAGTAACAGCCCCTTCCCAAAGCAGACCTCCTTCTTGCCTGAGGACTAGGTTACTTTTGTAAGACTAACATTAGCCACAAGATTAGAAATGATGGTTTAGAAGTCATACAGTTGGAGACTCCAAGATTCTGATCCTCTCCAAACTGCTCCTAAGACCAGTGCTTGAGATATTTTGCAGACCCTATACATGATGGATCAGCTAGGACCACCTAGATCAATAAACTGGCTCATCTGATCTTGTGGCCCCCACCCAGGAACTGACTCAGCACAAGAAGACAGCTCCAATTCCCTATTTTTTCATCTCTGACCAATCAGCACTCCTGGCTCACAGTCTTTCCCCCGCCCACCAAGTTATCCTTAAAAACTCTGCTACCCGAATGCTTGGGGATACTGATTTGAGCAATAATAAAACTCCAGTCTCCCGCACAGCCGGGTCTGGATGAATGACTCTTTCTCTATTGCAATTCCCCTGTCTTGATGAATCGGCTCTGTCTAGGCAGCGGGTAAGGTGAACCCCTTGGGTGGTTAGAATTGCAGTGAGCCATGATCGCACCACTGCATTCCTGCCTGGGCAACAGAGTGAGACCCTGTCTTGAAAAAAAAAAAATCCCAGATCAGCCACTTAATGAAAAGGCTCATTTTCCTCACATGCAAAGTAGGGGTAACAATAACCACGTCACAGGTGCACGTCAGGACTCACTAAGGAGCCACTATAACTGGCATCCACTGCAAGCTGATCATGCTGGGGCGTTGCCTGCAGGGAAGTGCTGTACATGCGTCGGCCCAGAGGCTCCCCACATCACGTAGGAGGTGGGTGCTTTGCTATTTTCATACTGCAGATAGCGATCCGAGGTTTGGAGAAGTAATACATGATTTGCTCAAGGTCACACAGAGCAAAGATAGAATTCATTCTGACTCCAGAGCCCATGCAGCATCCAGGAGCCCCAACTGTGCCACCTTTTGAATGCTCATCTGTCTGAACTGTAGGTAATGCACTACCCTGGCCATCTAGGCTGGAGGTATCTAAGCCATGAGAGAGAGACTGAAAGAGAAATGGCTGCACATTCGTCAAAGAGTAAATTACATTTTAAAGCACCCACTGTGTGTGACAGCAAGTTGGACAGCTCCATGGGGACACAGAGGGCCCCAGACACACTCCCACCCTCCTAGATCTTTGCTTAATTTCATGAGTGGCCATGGACAGATGGCATAAACAATTTTATTTCTAAAAAGCTCAAAGCTAATATTGTCTGAGATTCATATTGTAAATAAATATCCTCATTTTTACAGAGAAATTCTGAGGCTCAAAGACATTCAGTGACCTGCTGCTTCACGCACAGGTGGTCAGTGTCGCCAAAGCCCAGGGCAAGCAGTCCAGGCAGCTGTCACATTTCCAACATGTCGCAAGCCTTGCCAAAGCATGGGCTCTGCTGTCTCCCTTCCGTGCAGCAGGCCACACGAGGCAGACGCGGATTTGTTCCAACAGCTTCACCAGGGGAATAAACAGCAGGCATGGGCACAAATTTAAAAACCTCAGGCTTGAGATCCTCTCTTTATCCAAAATCAAAAACCAATTCTTTTCTCTCCTTTCTTCCCTGGGCATTCTTGGTGTCACCCGCCTGCCTGGGCCAGAGGACCGTATTGAGGTTCCTGCATTGCCAGGCCATTTGGTAACATGAAGAGCAAGAGCCGATGCCCCTTTCCTGTTGTATCTTTTTTTTTTTTTCTTTTTAGACAGAGTCTCGTTCTGTCGCCCAGGCTGGAGGGCAGTGGCACAATCTCGGCTCACTGCAAACTCCACCTCCCAGGCTCAAGTGATTCTCCTGTCTCAGCCTCCCAAGAATCTGGGATTCCAGGCACACGCCAGCACACCTGGCTAATTTTGTATTTTTAGTAGAGATGGGGTTTCACCATGTAGGTCAGGCTGGTTTGGAACTCCTGACCTCAAACCATGCACCCACCGCCTCGGCTTCTCAAAGTGCTGGGATTACAGGCATGAGCCACCGTGCCCGGCCCCTCCTGCTGTACCGTTACCCCTCGTGGCTGCTAAGCTAGCTTGTCTGTTTCTTCACTGCCCTGGCACTTGGAGTCCTACCTCCTGGCAGAAGCCTATTTTTCTTTGCTTATGTATGCTCTTTTCTAAACGTAGACAAACTTTTATGTTTTATTTTCCTCCCTAGTGGTAAATAGCAGAATCTGGACAAGAACTCAACATTTCTATTTCAGATTACACAGTTTCTCTATTACTATGTAGTTTCGGGATGTTTTATGTGGCTTTTGTAAGAAACATAATCCCACTAACATTGACTGAGTACTAGGGCCCTCTGCTAGGAGGCAGGGAAGCTGCATACGGCTACTCCAGCACTATCCAACCTCGAGTGCAGGGCAGACACATAAGGAGGCGATCATAATAAAAGATATTTTGGGAAAATCACAGAATACTGTAGCGACTCTCAAGGTGTGCTCTAACCCCTCTGAGAATGAGGAAGGGTTAACCCAGAACAAAGAAAGTGTAGTTGATTTTTGGTGTTTGGGCAGATACATTTCAAATAAAGGGAACATTATTGGTAAAAGAAGAAAGGGGAGAGAGAGCCCAGCATCTCCGGAGAGCTGTAAATATTCAGTCTGGCCAGGCGCGGTGGCTCACACCTGTAATCCCAACACTTTGGGAGACCAAGGTAGGCGGATCACCCGAGGTTGGGAGTTCAAGACCAGCCTGACCAACATGGAGAAACCCTGTCTCTAACTAAAAACACAAAATCAGTTGGGCATGGTGGCACATGTCTGTAATCCCAGCTACTCAGGAGGCTGAAGCAGGAGAATCACTTGAACCCAGGAGGCGGAGGTTGCGGTGAGCCGAGATCATGGCCACCGCACTCCAGCCTGGGCAACAAAAGTGAAAATCCGTCTCAAAAAAAAAAAATTTTCAGTCTAGCTGGGGTGTCAAGGCACTCAACAGAAGTGAGGTTTGGAGGTTATGCTACTGACAAGGGGAATCTCTAAAAGGAGTTCAGAAAGATCTGAAAACAATCTCGAAGATTTATTCAACAAAAGGAGATTTGTGTCTGAAAATGATGACGACGTGGACCCCGACTCCAAAGAGCTCATCACCTACTGGGAGAGACAGATATGTAAACAAATCACTACTGAACAATTTGTTCATTCTAAATATAGCACACACAAAGAGCTGGGGACAGTGAGGAGGAAGCTGTCAGCACTGCCTGCGGAGAAGAAAGGAGCGCTTTGTGTAGGTGACAACTGAGCAAGATGACAGATGAGTGGGCGGAAACCAGTCCTTGCAGAAGGGGTGGACCCGTGGGGTGGGACCAGGAAGGGCACCTCCAATTCATTACCCAACAGTAAATGAATGGAACATTCGCCGTTCTCGTTAAATTTCAAGAATTTCTACTGCAACTCCTTTGCCTCAGGAATTTGTCCTCCTCCTGTTAGAGATAACGAATGTTAAACTGTAACCTACGTGTCTCTTCTCAAGGATTTTGAATGTTTGTTTGTACAGAGAACACTCCATCTGGCACATCCCAGAAACAAAAGGGGCTTTTCAGCAAGATTTTCAGTGTAAGGAAGCCATGTCATTGCTACAGGCTGCATTCTCGGAAGCTTTTCGCCCTAACCACAAAATCAGTGGCAAGTAGGAGGGGCAGGGCTGCACCTCAGTGCGGCATCATGGTACCCATCCTGTTCCCCATACAAACAGACTCAAACATCAGTGTCTTAGTCACTGGGGTTAGAAAGCATCTATTTTTTTCCTTTGGCAGTAAAAAACTTCACAAACAATTCCACTGAAAAGCATATTATACTTATTATCTTCTACTTAAAGTCCAACAAATACATCAATTAAGAGCAGAAAATTGTGGGATACAAGATTCTCAAATTTTCAGTAATACAGCTCAGTATCAGTACACAAGGTAAGACCTTATGGACTGAATGTTTGTGTCCACCCAAAATTCGTATGTTGAAGCCCTAACCCCCACTGTGATGGTATGAGGAGATGAAGCCTCTGGAAGATGATTAGGTCATGAGAGAGAAGCCCTTGTCGATGGGACTAGTGACCTTGTGAAAAGGACCCTAAAGAGCTCTCATGTGAGTGTACGACCAGCCAGCAAGCCAGACCCTCATCAGAACCTGACATTGTTGCACCCCAATCTCAGAATTCCAGCCTCCAAAATTGGAATAAATCTCCAAAACTGAGAAATAAATATCTATTGTTTACAAGCCACCCGATCTGTGGTACTTTGTTATAGCAGCCAAAACTGACGAAGATATGAGGTCAAAAAAGGTGCTCTCCCTATTAACCACACAACTCTGCCTGTGCTTCCAACGAACTGTGGTTGAAATGGATTCAGCTTTACAACACCTGCAGAAGGCCAGGTTAGGTGCAGCAGTAGTGGTAGAAATGTTGGACTAGAGACTGTATTAAGGGGTTGAAAATAAAGGGATGAGCCATAATTTATTTGGGAAAATGCAAATAAAAGTAGTAGAAATAGAAATATTCATGAAAAGATAATATGGCATTTAATTTAAAAACAGTGACTTGGTAATGATAAAAAAATAAAAATTATAGTCATGAACCTTTGGGTACTAAATAGCATAGTGGTAAATATATACGATAAAAACTCTGGCCAGACCTGGTGGCTCATGCC